TTTAACAAACCCAAATGATAAAGTATATTTTTCTGAGTATTTTCCACAAAACCGCTTAGAAATATCTTTTACCGGAGCAGAGATATGATTTTTTGAAAATCGCATTTTTCCCTTAAAAATTGAAATTTTTGCAAAAATTGACGAAAAATGCGATTTTCAAAAAATCATATCTCTTCTCCGGAAAAAGCTATTTCTAAGCGGTTTTGTGGAAAATACTCAGAAAAATATGCTTTATCATTTGGGTTTGTTAAATTTGTTCCGAAAAATTTTTCCGAAAAAGTGGGATTTGGTATATCCGGTAGATCCGGATTATCTCGGCCAATTTTCATTTTCATGAAAAATGCAGAAACATGTCAACTGAGATACGAATAGAGCTTTCGATTGGTATATAGAACGTATTTTTTGAATGAAAAATTAAAAATTAAGAAAAAATTTTCTAGCGCTTCCATACTTTTTTCCACGACTGTATATTTTGCCCACTTATTTCAATATTTTATGGCCATATTTTGCGATTTTATTTCAATATAAATCCGAGCCCTATTGATGACTGATTGTAGACTAACAGCTGAATAACTGACACCTTAAAGAATAATCAACATCTGAAATCTGAGAATAACGGCAAAAACTTAATTTAATATTCATACAGACTTGTGTATATAAAATAATTTTAAACTAAAAAAAGAACACATTCTACAAAATAAAAAAGTTTTATCTTTAAGTTTATTCCCAAGACAATCTCAATTGTTCAAAATATATATCTATTGCTTCCTCACATTTCTCTGAAAGTAATGGCTTCCCATTAATGTTTTGTAATTTGTTTAAATTCATATTCTTATTCATGTGATCAAAATCATTTGCACAATCCAATGGACTAACTGAGGCATTCTTTCGAAACAAAAGACATCCAAAAATTAGTTTACAATAATGTATAAAATCTCGTTTCAAGAAAGGATGGAATCTAAATAGAATAAATGTTGTAGCTATCATTTTCGGTAATTTTTGGATTTTTGAATGGGGCTGTGAAGAAAAGATTCGAATAATTTTAAATTCGAAATTCAACCGATATTTAAACCGACTATGAATCGTTAATAAATCTAAATCCCCCGAACCCCGATATTCCCACACCGGCAAACCCAGATCCCCGACACATACGACCCCGAAGGCTCGGGGAGATGCCCTAGTTTAAACTAAACTGTTTTATAAAATTTACATACATAATTATAAACAATTCTATAAGAAATGTGTCAATTGTAATTATTATACAAATGCATTGAAAAATAAAATCTTGGTTAAACTTTCCACTTATAATTTTTGTATAACATAGTAGGCCAAATAAGTTAGGCAATAATATATTAACAAAGTGCATGATAATACATGGCAATAGTTGTTTTGATGTACGGATATTTTCCGAAAGCTTTAAATTAATTTGTATGATGAGTATCTTGTGAGTAATTTTTATCTAAATCAACCTGATATCTTTCTGACAAATTATGACGACCTCCCAGAAGCTTTTTCTCATAATTTCTTTTGTTATAATTAAGAATCCAGAAGAGAGCCCAAATTTCAAGCATTCCCAAAATCAGTAAAGTAATATATGTTATAGCAATTTGTTTATATTCCATTGACATTGCAAAATATGAATTTAAAAAAGCGAAGAATAGCTTAAATAATATAAGCCAATTTGGAATTAATTAGAAATATAATTTATTTATTATTTATATTATTCAGTGATGTAATATCTCTCAATTATAAATTAAAATAATTGGTAATTTATGGATATACCTCCCCCCACTCCCGATTCTGATTCTCAAAATTTTCCTTGATATATACAGAATGGTCAGACTTTCTACCTTCGCAATTTCAGAATATTTTACTGTGGTATATTCAAATGATAGACATTAATAAAGAAAAGTAATTTCTACGACCATTTATTTATTGACCAGACGTTTACCAATACTTTTTTATTTCTGCTAGTACTCGTATTCGTAAAAGGTACGAGTCAAGACGAATTTTGATACGAGTTGAAACATTACCGTAATTGTTATCCAAGTAACATTAAATGGAATATTTCTTCGGTTTTCATAATTTTTTGAACTAAATGTCGCTATTATTCTCTCAATTACCATTACATGAATTATACAATTACGGACAAAAATTGACTGATTGGAAATTGCCGACAATACAGGCTGACCAACTGATCCAAAATCATTAAAACAAATTCGAAAAATATTCAATAATATTCTACCTGATAATTTTTATTCAAAAAATATTTTTAGATATCCCTTACCAATTCCTCTGATAAAAATACACAAGCTTTGACATAAAAGAATTAATTTTAAATTTGGATGTAAAATTGAAGTCTTTAATATTAAAATAAAGTTTATAGTAGAAATTGGACAAGCTAATAATGAATTGGCAGCAAGTTCTACAATATCTGCTGCCAAAAATATTTTTGTTTCTGTCTCTGTATAATTCGGTCCGGGAGGGAAAGTAAATGCCATTTATAGTAATATTAAATAATAAAAGTATTTTCACCTTTCCTATAATAATATAAATTTTTTAGCACTTAAGTGTAAAAGCACCGGTCATACATATTATAAATAAAGATAATAGATATAAACATGTAATTTAACGGAAAAGCGGAAATGAAAAATCTAATTTAAGACAATCTACTGGCTATTAGATTGGCGGACCCTGATATCCGGAAAATCCCTCGGATAGTACCCCCTTACAGTGTCCCACTTGCTTCTGCTTGTTTGCTAATTATGACTGAAATAAAGAAGCTACACGTCATCCAATGCCAAAAGAACTCAAGAAATTCGAGAATAAAATCGCAATCATTTTGAGTTTAGATAATCAAACAATGTCGAGGAATGGACCCCATCAACAAGAATGTTTGAATTTCTAAGTATCTGATTTAAGTGGGTTTCTGGGATTAAGACTTTGCTTGTCTTGATTGAAATAAGAGTTAAAGTTATTAAAAAATAGATAAAGTCAAGAATTTTATACAAATTGAAACTTTAAAATAAAGAAAAAAACGCAATAAATGACACATTTGAAACATAAATACTAATTTAATATTAAAAAAATAAAGCGGAAAATAAAATTAAATTAGAAAATTCTAGTATACATATCATTTTTTATTAAATTTAATCAAATTTGTTTAGATATATTAAGTTTTTTGGAATTTAAAATAATTTTGTTTAATTTCTTTTATTTAATATAAAAGAAAAAAAATTAATTGCCAAAAGAAAAATAAATTGTCAATAAATTTATGAACTAACATTAATTTTTTAATTTTATTGAGTAAAACATACAAAAAGAACAATTATAGTAGAAAAAAATTACATTGAAAATTGTCAAATAAAGTAAATACATCATACATTTATATAAATATAAAGTCCGTTAAGAAATTATAACACCCCCAATCTTTTAGTTGTTACTTAACTTCCTATGGGCCCAATGAGTATTCATAAAAAATCTAAAATCAAATGAAACACTTCTGGATTTTCAGAATATTAATAATTATTGAATATCTATCACTGTTAAAAATTCAGACTCATTTGGCTTGCAAGAAGTATAAGTAACAACAAAAAGATGGGGTGTTATAATAAATAACGGACTTTATAATGTAAAAAATTTATTATGGTGTTCATTCCATCTACCGTCTAAGGAATTTTTTAATGTACGACCAAAATAAAAAATTTATCATAAAAGAGAATCCCAAGAAATCCTCAATTGTTAAAATATATATCTATTTATTATCTTTACTTTGCTCTAAAAGTAATGGCTTTACAATAATATTTTTTAATTTCTTAAAATCCAACTTCTTATTTATGTTATCAGAATCTTTGGCACAATGGGAGATTGAGCTTGGATGTCCCGAGAATCTTTAATTCTTCGATAAATTGTCCAACTCCTTTGTGGGCGAGTGGATTTAATTGCGGCTTTTAAATGGACGAGCGGCTGAGATCGCACGCTCTTTAGTGGACGAGCGGGATCAGATACGCCCTAGACGGCGAATTATAGGAATACCAACAAAAGAGAATAAACAAATAAAATTATTTATTCAGGACCTTGAACTTAAACTCAAACTTGGGTAATTAAACCATTAATAAAATGCGTGAAAATAATAAAACTTAAGTTTGGCCAAAGTAGTTGTAAAGAGATTAAAATAGATTAAAGGCCAAACTTAATTGGGAAACATAAATAAAGTGCATGTGGGGAAAAATGTAGTTAAATAAGTAGAAATACACAAAGAAAAAATAGAACTAAAAATATGTAGAAAAAACTTAAATAATGAATAAAAGAATTAAAATAAGCAATTGGAGAAGCGATCAGAAATGGGGTTAGCATAAAAGGGTGTGGCTAACAAAAGAGATATCGGACAAAGACAAACGGTTAAGAATAGACGGTGCAAAAAATCACCACAAAATTAAACAAAATTAAACAAAAGAAGCGATAATAGTATTGTCTTAAAATGAGGTATATCTTAAATAGGGCTATCTACATATGGGACATCTCTAAGGTTGCTGGGAAATCCTCGGTTATCCGGAACCGAAACCGGAATTTATATTTTCAAAATTAAATAAATTTAAGAATTAGGGATTTATGATGAGTAGGTGGATTTGCGGGAATTAATAGGGATATGGTTATTTCCTAACTTCCATGTCTGGAAGATTAAAATTTAAGATTGGCAATAATATTGATGATTATGAGCTAAGATTGAGGGATTTTAGCGCCACAGGCAAAAAATTTGGGAATTCTGGAAGGTTATTAAGCCAGATTTATTTTTTATTGACGCCAAAGACGAAAATTTTGAAAATATTAGAAGGCTAAGAAGCCAGATTGATCCATATTTCGGTTATCCGGTCTTTTTCGATTCTGGATTATCGAAACCGCCAACTTTAGTCAGCTCCCATTACATAATAGCCATCCAAGAATTAAATTTAATAAAATTTCGATGTAAGGATTGTATGGGAAAAATTACTTCTAATTCTTTTACTCCCACGACATAGCCAATTGTTTAAAGTATGCCCCGCCTAAATCTTCTCTTTTTCCATCTCCAATTAAAGGTTTTCCATTGATATCCATAGGTTGTAATGCTGCTAAAGTTTTTCTGCTTGCTCCTGTTGCTGGTAGAATACTTGGCTCATTATAAACAGGATCCTGCACAACTCTACTTGAAGCAAAAATTCTAAATTGAATAATAGACCGAAATGCAGAGAACATTCGTACGAGATCACGTTTTAAAATTGGATGATAACTGAAAAAAATAATTATTTTACAAATTATCAGACTCTGGCGCAATATTTATGTTCTGAAAGTCCTGATAATGTGTTAAATTTATATAACAATTGGGGAAATTCAGAGCTATTAAAGCACTGATAACTAAAATATCGGTCCAATTGGGCATTCCGGCTCTGTATGTTTGATATATTTTGCACCTAGTTGTTTAATCTTGCAGGTGAACCATTTGGTTTTAGTTGGATTTTAATTGGATTTTGCTATAGTGGACTTACTATAGTGGACTTATTTTGTAAAATCGTCATTATGACAGAAAAATAGTTGGGCGCAGTAAGTTTTAATTTAATTTTTACCTTGTTTTGATGTCCGAAAATAACATATAAAACCCTAATTAATAAACACCCCTGAATTATGTGCTAATTTATTAGACTTTTTTAATTTGAATAAACCGAAATTGAAAAGTATAAAGTATGCCCATAATTATTGAACTTTTAAGGCTTAAACAAATTTTTTAATTGTTATACTTACATAATCATAAAAAATTCGATAAGAAACGAGCCAATTGTTATAGTTGTGAATAAGCACTGACTAACAAAATCTGATATAAATTTGCCAGAATATAAATTAAAATACACAACAATATTGTTTATTCCAGGAATGATTATACAAACAAAATGCATAAGTATACAAGGAATTAATTGTTTTGCCGTTCGGATATTTTCAGAGAGCTAAAAATTAATTCAAAATTATTTATTATATTATTATTATTATTATTATATTATAAGTATTATTATCTTTATATTATCTCCAAATAAGCTTCGCAAAAAAGCGAAATTGGGTATAATCTAGTCAATTTAATCATTTTTTTGGCTTGTTGTGAGAAAAAAGTGTAAGGGGTGATAAATCTATTTCTAGTTTTAAATTCGAAAATCCACATTAAAATCCACATTAAAATCCACATTCGAAAAGGCTTCTCGAGCCGGTAACAAAATCAACTTGAAATAACAAGTCCGGCTACACCAATGTACGGTTTTTCAATTTTTGGGGACCTATATCTCGGTCTACAGGCATTTCCGCATCTATTCATTCGACTCAGCTCAACGAGTCAAGTCGATTGACATATCATTCGACCCATTTCACTATAAGTCCTCGATTAAACCACAGCCAAAGTATTTAGCTTAAGCAAGCTTCTATTTAAAATTTAAATTAGGTATTTTAAATTTTAAAAATAATGGCCACTTTTATCCGATTTTGCCCCGTTTTTGAAAGCCCGTGCCCCCTTTGGTGATTTGGAAAAGGCCACACTGATTAGGAGCCATAGACATCATTTGACATTTATCCTTTTTTCGCTACCTGATATCTTTCTGACAATTCATGACGTCCTTCAAGTAACTTCCTTTCATAATTTCTTTTGTTATGATCCAAAATCCAAAAAAGTGCCCATATTTCTAATATTCCAAGAGATACCAAAGTAAACAATATCGAGAAAGAGATGATATAATTTGATGAGAGAGAGTTGAGATATCCAATTATGGCCTTTAAATATTTATTGAAAAATCTCATAAAATAGTAAAGTACCGTGATCGTTAACCAGCTTAAAAGGAATAAATTGCTTCTGTGTTTTTCATAGTTTTTTGATTTAAATGTTGCAATTATTCTTTCAATAATCAAAACATGCATCAAACAATTTCGAAAATAAATTGGTTGCATATACAAGGTATTCAATATAGAAGGTCCATATGTTCCGCAATCATTAAGATAAATACGAGCAATATTTAGAATTATTCGACCTAGATAATCATAAAGCAAGATTGAATTATAAAAGGTGAATTATAAAAATGCTTTACGGGGGGTTTAATCTTAATTATCGAGATCATGGGGTTTCATAAACCTTAGACTACTGTTGATAAATGAATGTTACTTATCAACTAGGGTTGAGGTTTTCGAGACGGGCCGACGTTCGACTCAATTTTTTCTGGCCTCATTTTTATCGAGTTATTAAAATCGAGCCTTTTTCGGGCCAAAATTGTATCCGACCGGACCGGGCCCCCTACCCTAATAACAAATTCTATGTCGCAAATTTAAGTTCGTGTGGGCAAACATCCATTTCTAATTTTCTTCTCCTATTCTAAAATTTAAATATCCCTTACCAATTCCTCTAATAAAAATACACAAGCTTTGACATAAAAGAATTAATTTTAAATTTGGATGTAAAATTGAAGTCTTTAATATTAAAATAAAGTTTATAGTTGAAATTGGACAAGCTAATAATGAATTGGCAGCAAGTTCTACAATATCTGCTGCCAAAAATATTTTTGTTTGTGTCTCTGTATAATTCGGTCCGGGAGGGAAAATAAATGCCATAAGTTTCTATTTAAAAATCAAGAATTAAGTCAATATTTGTTCAGTTAATTCTATTAAAATAAAATTAAATAAGTTGATGAAAATAATAAAGTTCGCACGCAATTTTGCGTTTTTTATTAACAAAATATTTATTGTTTTTTCGTTTATTTCAATTTAAAATATAAAACAGAAACCATAGCTTAGTCACAATTTTGTTAAAATAAATGACTGATTTTTAATAGAATCAAAATATGGCCATAAAATATTGAAATAGTTACCCCATAAATAAATATGTATATTCGAAAAAAATCATAGACAATCCGCCCTTTATTTATAAAACTGAAATCAGTAAACGATTTTCAACGGAAATAAAATCTAGAATAGCTCTATTAAAAATTCTTTATTTTATTTTTTATTATTCATATGTAAATGGTTAATTTTTAAATTAAAATATTCACATAATAAACTAATTTAAATTTTTTTATTTTAATATTTTATTATAAACATTAAATAAAAAAATTAAAAATGAAAAAGTTAAAATATTAAACATGTAAATCTTAAATTTAAAATAATTAAAATTTTTCGCGCAAATGAATAAAGTACAAAGAAAAATGTTTGTTTGTAAATCATTCATTAAAAATAAAAAATTGTAAATAATTGTTATTTATTTATTTATTTATTTATCAGCAAACCACAGGTATTTTAAAATACATTAAAGTGGTGCATAAAAAACATAAAAATACAAATTAAAGAAAATATGTGAGACAACAACAAAAAAAATGAAATGAAAAAAAAAAATATATAAATAGTAAACAAACACTCTAAAAACCACACACGCCAGGGCTCAATGTCTTTATTATTTTACTTTAATTATTAGATTTTAATGAGCTTCTAAATTTTTTCGGATCATTTATTTTAAATGGCTCATTTGGAAGATTATTCCAGTTATTCACCACTCTGTGAAAAAAATTATTTTTTGTTTTATTTGTATATTTTTTTGTCCTAAGAAGTAGAGGCCTGCGAAGAGATCTATTTGATAAATTAAAATATTTTTGGGAATTAAGGGATGTAAAACCTTTTATAATTTTAAAAGCGGTGGAAAGATCGGCAATTTTTCTTCTATCTATTAACTTTTCGAGTTTACAAGTATTTAATCTTTCTTCATATGGGACCTTGATTAAACCACATTTTTTGTAAATATTTTTAGTGAATAGTTTTTGAATTTTTTCAATTTTCTCTATTTGATATTTCATCTGTGGATTCCATACTTCAGTTGCGTATTCTAGTTGGGGTCTTATATATGTCTTATATATATTAACGAGGAGATTTAAATTTCTAGATTTAATGATTCTTATTATTTGGGAGCTTTTTAAATATGCGTTTTTTATGATCATGTTTATATGATTGTTAAATGTTATTTTTGAATCAATTAATATTCCAAGATCACGAATACATTCTGTTTCTTGTACTTTTAATCCATGTATGATATATTCTCTTTTCATGTTATTTTTACCTAGATATAAAGCAAAGCATTTGCTAGGGGATATTTCTAAACCATTTAATTCCGTCCATTTCTCGAGTATTCTTAAAGCTTTATTTAGTTGTTCTCTTTCTATGCCGTTTTTATGAGCTATATATAGTTTTACATCGTCTGCGTATAGTTTTACTCCAACATTTTCGGGGATTTCATTAGGAAGATCATTTATAAAAATAAGGAATTCACAATAAATTATTATGAATTTCTATAGAAACAAAGAATTTAATGAACATGATAAGTGTAAATTTGGTATCGAAAACAAACTGGTAAAACTTTCGACAATGAAACCAGGCTTATAAGCCTCAAAGATAATTGAATGGGCTACAAAATGCACTTAATCGTAATAAAAAATTTAAATAAGAAAAAAAAATTATGGCAAAATGAAAAATTTTTCGATTAAATTCTGCCAAATTCTTCTGTTAATCGAAACGAAAAAAAATCCAAGTTTTGGAAGACCAAATCCCCAGCTATTCAATCCCTGATATCTACCTTGCAAAGCTCATTCCCTGGACATCACACCCAAATCCCTCTATATTACCTATAACCCGTTGAACTCGCATAATGTAACTCAAAATCCACCTTCATCCATCCAAATCCTTCGACTTACCATACAACTTCCCTTCATAGCGCCGCAGGTGAAAATTTTGGGATTTTAGATGAACCAAGGATACAAATTTCTTCCTTTTTAAGCGCCGCAGGCGAAAATTTTGAGAATTTTTGTGTCCAAGTAGCTAGATTTCTTCCTTTTCTGGCGCCGCAGGCGAAAATTTTGAGAATTTTGGAAGGCCAATCGGGGAAAATATTGCAAGGCCAATCCATATTTCTTAAAAAACTAATCCTTAGGGGTGTAAAATTGTAAACCGGAGACGGAACCGAAACCAGAACCAATTTGAGGTCCGGTTCCCGGAACCGGAACCAAAAAAATACCGGAACTTTCCGGAACCGGAACCGGAACTTCCGTTGAAACTCTAATGAATAGTAATGTATAAAATGGTATAAAATATCTACATAATTTCAAATTGAGATATGAAAAGTTCCCAGATCAAATGAACTGTTCACCCGATCGGGGAAATTTTTGAAATCACAACTACAAACTTGTTATTTT